TGCTCAAGTGGTGGCGCCGACGCAGCCTGTTTAAGTCGGGCATGTCCCCCTACAGGAGGATTATCTATTCAAAAGTAGTAAAAAAATAGTCGAGGGGCGATTTTTCGACTACTGTTGGCTCTTTTAGGATATTTTTGGTTATTTGCACTTTGTCTTCCAAAATCCGCCTCTAGGAGGACATGCCCAACCTAAACGCAGACGTCGGGCATCTCGGGAAAAATATGTTTCATGTTGTCGCGCGGTAGGATATCAGGGGCCAGCCAGCCCAAGAATTTGGGAAACAAAAGATCGGCGGCGAGCCCAGGGGAGGAGTCAGAGGGGGCGGGCCTTCTCAGAAGGCTCGGGAAGCCTCTAGCCTTCGGAGAAGGCCTGGAGGATTGCGACGACGGCGCGGACGATGACGACGATGACGCCGACGACGACGACGACGACGACGACGACGACGAAGCTGGCGACGACGATGACAACGGTCACGACGACGACGACCACCACGACGACGACGACGAAAACGAAAACGATGACGACGATGATGACGACGACGACGACGACGACGACGACGACGGACGACGGACGACGGACGACGGACGACGGACGACGGACGACGACGACGACGACGACGACGAAGGCGGCGGCGACGATGACAACGACGACGACGACGACGATACGACGACGACGAACGACGACGACTACATCGACGACGACGATGAGGACGCGACCAGAGCTACACAGCTAGAGGATGTTCAAGCAAGTGGTGGCTTGGGTCAGGGGACCCCGATGCCGCGGGGAATACAGAAGCTGACCCCGCTTGCTGGGCCCCCAAGGGTCGCTCCAGACTGTTGCATTTTTGCCCCCAAGGCGGCCCAAGTGCTCCAAGGCGGCCCAAGATGCCCGCGAGACGTCTTGAGTGGTCTCAATGAAAGACGACCCAGAAAGGCTCGAAGTCTGCTTCAGAGGTTCCTAAGACACCCTGAGGTGCAAACATATATTTCCATACATGTGTTCGGCCTTACCAGCGTCAAGACACTCCAATATCGCCCCAAGAGGGCCCACGAGGGTCTGCATCAGAGTACAGAGTTGGCCTCAAGACTACCCAAGAAAGGTTTCAATCGAAACGGCCTCAGAAGGCCCCAGGACCGAATGTAGTTCCAGAAGGCTCCCAGGACAGCTCACAGGATCCCAAGATGGCTCAAGAGAGCCCTAGGATGCTCCGAATGAGGCCCAACCCGAGTGAGTTTTACACAGACTATCGGCTATGAGTGCTTTGCGTTTCACGGATGGTGTCAGTGGCCGCCCCAATTTCGAGGTGGCATTTTAGATCCAAGTCGCTCACCACATGGAGGAGTTGGTGACAGTCTCTCGGCGAATGAAGATCTCCAGTGCGCCACTGGCCATTTGCATCCGGCATCGGCGCTCGATGCCCGCGGTGAATCACCGTAGGTATCTTTGATATCCGTCCTCTTGATCCGTATCATCTTTCCCTCTCCTCCTCACCCTTCCCTCCTCATTATCCTTTTGCTTCCTCTGCATTATGGGCACTCTCGTACTCTCCCTTGCTTTCTCAGATTCCTCCTCGCCTCCCCCCTTTCCAACAGATCGCACAAGCTCGACAAAGGGGTGGTCATAACGTTGCAATGAGTCCACGCTCCGAGCGAGGCGTGCATGAAGATGTTTCCGCATTCTGTGATCTCCATTTGCTCGGTCGAAGTAGCTCCACAGCGACCCTTGGAGCGGCCAGGGAGCATCTACAACGGCGCCAATCTTACGTTCACGTGAGATGCGAGGTCTCTCGTGCGCGCTACGCACTGGCGGCCGAGAGAGGTAGAACTTTGCCCCGATCGAGTGTCCAGAAAGGCTCCCCAGACGCTCCAAGAGCGTCCCCTTCTGTAGCAGGTTGGGTCAAACTCGTCGGGGCAGGCCGTCGTGGCATCCCGAACGACTGCCACTCCTGGACCAGTATCGCCATGGCCAGTGCCACCTGTCCCGTTGGGCATCCTGGGCCAGGGGAAAGGCCAGCAAGCATGATTTAGTGGTCCTGTAGCAGTTCGAAGATACGTCCATGGCAGTTCGAAGACGTCCAGGGGGCTTTTGGGCCATCCTGCAGGCCTCCTTGGAGGCATCCGAGATGGGAAGCCTGCTGGCTGTCTCGTGGGGCGGATGGCTCGACATGTCGGATCGAGTTCTCCCTCTTGGAGCCATCTTGGGGTCCTTTTGCGCCGCCTCGGGCAGTCTTGCGGGCCTATTCTGGGCCTCTTGGGTTGTGTTGGTGCGATTATGGGGGTCGATCGGCCGTATATGAGTGTACGGAGCTTGGAAAGCCGAGAACGCTAAGCTGATTTAAAAGGTTCAGGTAAGTTGTTTCCTTCTTGGAGACGTTTGGGGGGCCCTCTTGGTGCGTCTCGGGGGGCCTCTTGTGCTGTCTTGAGGCCACCTGGAGCGTCTCGGAGAGCTTGTGGGCCGTCCCGGGGCCCTGTTGGTCCGTCTTGTGGGCCTCCTGTTGGGCCATCTCGGCGCTGGTCTCCGGAAAGGTCGCGCGGGAACGTAGCGCCCGGAAGCGCCAGGCTGCGGGCGTATACTAGATACGGGGGATTCTCTGGAACCTCACCGCCCACCAAACCACCCCAACCCAACCCGAAGGCCACGATTTGTCCTCCATTTCCAGTGTGGGGGGGGGGGTCGGGGAACATCGACAAAGACACGTGGAACTCGTACCCCCCCCCCGAACCCGAAATTCGGGTCACATTCGGGTCTTCGGGTCGGGTTGGGGTGGTTTGGCAGGTAGTCCGGAACCTGAGGACTGAGCACACTCGGACACTCCAAGTCGTGCCTCGCGGCACGGTGGCGGACAGTAGACGGTGAATGGGTCAGAGGCTCAGGGGCGAGAGCGGGACCCCTGGGAGATCGGTTTCGGTTCCGGAGGAGGAGGAGGAGGAGGAGGGGGAGGAGGAGGAGGAGGAGGAGGAGGGGGAGGGGAGGAGGGGGAGGGGGAGGGGGAGGGGGAGGGGGAGGGGAGGAGGAGGAGGAGGGGAGGAGGAGGAGGAGGAGGAGGGAGGAGGAGGAGGAGGAGGGGGAGGAGGAGGAGGAGGAGGAGGAGGAGGAGAGGAGGAGGAGGAGGAGGAGGAGGAGGAGGAGGAGGAGGGTCTGCGTCAGGCGTGCGGGCGAGGCGAAGCTGCGCGAGGACGACGATTGGCCGGCCGCTGCCAGGGGCGACTCTCGGACGACAGGGGGCTCCTCCTGGACTCTGTGGGCGGGGCTCTCGGGGTGCTGTCCCGCGGTCTGCCCCGCGGGTCGTCTTGCAGGTTGGCCCGCGGGTCGTCCTGCGGTCGTCCCGCGTCGGTGGTCCCGCGGTGTCCCCCCGCGGGTCGTCCCGCGGCGCGTCCGGTGGTTGGCCCGCGGGTGGTGCCCGCGGCGGTCCCCCGCCCCCCAAGGGGTGGCCGCGGGCGGGCCCGCGGGGTGCCGTGGGCCTGCGGGCTGTCCGTGGCTTCGCCGCGGCTGGCCCGCGGCGGTCGTCCCGCGGGCCGTCCCGCGGTCGTCCCGCGTGTCGGCCCGCGGTTGTCGGGCCGGACGATAGGGGGGGATTGGGAAGGGGGGGGGTACGAAATTTGCTGCATGCAGCTGATTTCGGCCTCACCGAGGGGCCCATTCCTCGATACATAGCCGCCTCCGGCGCTGGGAGGCGCCAGGAAAATCAGCTACGTGAGCTGATTCTCAACCCCCCCTTTGCTATCCCCCCCTTTCGCCCGACCCGAGGTTGGCCAGCGGTTCTCCCGTTGGAAGTGGAGATTGAAATGCGGGTCGGATTGCAAGTTTCGGAGCGCAGATGGAAGGGCCCTGCATGGCGAGTGTCGTGCCTGCTGTTGGAGTCTGCACTTCGAGGTGCATGCCGATGGAATCTGGTTCGCAGGCATGTCGATGTGCATGTCCATCTCAACTCGGTGTGCATTTCGAATTGCAGATCGTTCGCAGCTGGAGCTTGCATATCGATCACGGGGCAAACCATGGGACAAACCATAGGACAACCCACAAGGCATCCACAGCAAGTTCGAGAAAGCCTTCGGGACAACGCATCGGACAACCCGCGGGTCAATCGCCAAAACACTCGCGGGTCAACCGCACGAAAACCCGCGGGAGAATACACGGGACAACCCAGCGGACAACCACGGGACAATTCAGAAGCTTCCGGCCACCGCGAGACGGGATCATAAGTTGCTCGCCCGAGTCGGCTTTGGCTATGGCCGACGCATCATCCCTCTCTCGCAGCTTCGCCTCGCCTGCGCGGACGGCACGGATCGAATCCGAACCGAGCTGTTGGTTGGGGCCACCTCGTTCTCCCTCGCCTGGAACCGATACCGACCCTGGGCCCAGAGCTGTCCCAGCCAGGCTTTCACTGCGCCGTCCATCCTGACCCGCTGTCCGAGTCCTCATGCAGCCGTGGCGAAAGACAGCGGGGGCCTCCGAAGGAGAAGAAGACGAGGACGACGACGACGATTGCGTCGACGACGACAGCATCGACATCGACGTCGCCGCCGACGCCGCTAGAGACGACGACGCCACCGACGACCATGCGGCCGACGACGACGACGACGACGACGACGACGACGACGACGACGACGACGACGGCGACGACGACGACGGCGGCGACCTCGACGACGACGACGCCGATGTCGACGTCGACGCCGCACGACGATGACGCCGACGCCGACGCAGACGCAGACGCAGACGCCGATGCCGACGCTGACGCCGACGACGACGCCGACGCCGGCCACGGCCACGGCCACGGCCAGGCGGCGAGACAGGCGCCCGACGCCGACGCCCTGCAGCGGTGCTTGGCGGTGGAGCGTGAGCTCGGGCTCCCGCCCGGAGCAGCGGGGGGGCCGCTGTGTGCCGTGTCCTTTTCTGTTTTCTTTCTTCCTCCCCATCCTCCTCCTCCTCCTCCTCCTCCTCCTCCTCCTCCTCCCCCTCCTCCTCCCATGCCCTCCCCTCCTCAATCGGCATCGGTGGCCATGGGGTTCCACGGACAAGGCCGCAGCGAAGGCGGCGGAGAGCTTGGCCACGCTCACCGCCCTGGCGCCAGCTGCGCCCGCACCAGCGCGTCCTGAGCTCAAGCTGGGCGCCAGGCTCGACGCGGCAGTCCTGCACGATCGGCAGGTTCAGCAGCAGCACGAAAAGCTCGCCAAGCAGCTCACACAGGTCGAACAGAGGAAAAAGGACATGCTCGAGAAGCTGGCCGCGGCGATCGAGGATGCGCTGGGGGCCAAACAGAAGCGCTGGACCGTTTGCAGCAGCAGGCACGACAGGAAGGAGCTTCACGGGGACAATGTCAGGCCGATAACGGGCAGCAGGCGCACAGCGGGAGCATTTGGGAGGACTGCCAGAGCTGTTGCGGGAGAACCCGGCGCCCCTGGGTGGGCCCAGCAAGGCCAAGTACGCTCAGGCAGCGGGATTCGCTGCCCAGGCGAAGCAGGTGCTCGGGGCGCGCAGGAACCAGGGCAGAACGGCGAAGGATGCGGCGGCCACGCTCCGCGCGATGCGGGCCAAGGTCCTCAGCCACAAGCGCTGACGGAGAGATGAAGCTGGACGGGATGTCAAACCAGTGGACTCCCAGGACGCTGCAGGATCTGCCAAGGACGCCGTGGACGCCAACTCGAACGACTAGAACGACAAGGGCTGCAACTCCGCCAGCCCAGAAGAGATGGCCAAGTACGTCGACAGGACGGCTGCCATCAAGGCCCGCCAGAGGGTGGCCAGTGCGCAGCGGCCAGCCGCGTCTGGTAACGTGGTTGCTGTTGGGGGGGTGGCAGCGCTGCAGGCCCAGCAAACAGCGGGCCAGCTGCAGGGGTGCGTGACCGCGGTGCATTCCTAACAACCACAACCGAACAGTCAGATCCGAAGAGACAACGCCGCTAAGGGACGCGTCCTGGACGTGTTCGGCGGGGCATCACCCCGCGCCCCGCACCCAGCATTGCTTGAAAGGGCGCAGAGGGGCGCCTCTCCCCCGCCGGCAAGATGCACCAGGCACCGCGCCCACATTGCCCACGGTTGGCCGAGTGGGCCAGGCCTTGGCTCCCACCGGGGCGGGGATGGGTCAGGGCCACCCCGCGGACCCCCAGGCTAGCCAGCCCGACTGCGTCCCGCAGGAGATCGGCGGCGGTCTTCACATGGGCGGGGAAATCTCCAGCGCGAGCTCCCACCGGGTCGGGCCGCTCGGGAAGCATTGGACAACATGGGCCGCGCGGGCGCAAAACGGCCGCGGGAGACGCGAACGGCAAGGGCTCGACTCGGCCACGGTTGAACGAGAAGATGAGCACCGCATCTACCAGAGGCACTTGGGGGCCGCTGGCCAGGCGCAAGGCGATCCCGGCTTCCGCGGCAACTGCAGCCTGTGCAACGACGCAACTAAGACGGATGGAGATCGCCGCTCACGTGGGAGGCGGCCATGTGTTCTGCCGGCAGGCAGCCAGCGCAAGAGGCACAAGTAGGGGATACCCAGGGCACGCGCGGTGAGAGGCGTTGGCTCAGGCGGAACGCGCTGAACACGTCCACCCACTTGCCTGGCAGAGCTGGGAGAGGGGTGCTCCACGACCAGCTGGAGGGCGCGACTGTTGTCATACTGAGGCTCAAGCATGGGTCGTCCGGGTTCATCAGCTGTCACCGTGACTGCAGCATCGCAACGGAGCCAGCGCCACCCAGGCGTGCAACCTGGCGCGGCCCACAAACGATCGGGGGTCATCGAGATGGCCGCAGGCTCGCCAGCGGGGCTGGACATCCCGAACACATCTCGCACATCGAAAAATGCTGCGCGGGCCCAGAGAGACCGAGGGCAACTCGCAGACTGCGTCAATGAAGGATTGAAAGAAGACGAGCTGGCCAAGATAGACCACTTTCCCCAACTGGCCCACGCCAAGCTACGTGTCAGGGAGGTGCGCGCGGGAAGAGTAGATCGGCTACGTGCGCTGGAGGCAGCGCGCGGGATCGCCTCATGGGTCAGGGGCTCGATCGCCGTCCACACGCGCGCGCGATGCCAATCACTTCGGGGACATCCATGGCATATGGGCCATCGTTGTCGGGCAACTGGCCCTTTGAATTCGGCGGCGCGCAGAAGGATGTACCTCCGGGAGTTCGATGCGTTTCGTCCATCTCGGGGGGCCCGGGATGTCCTCATCGAAACATTGGCTATGCTGTACCCCGAGCAAGGTCCGGGAATCTCTTCGTGAACGGAGTTTGGTCGGGCATGGGCTATTCCGAACAAGACGAGCATAGGCAGTTATCTGTCTTCACCTTCAACCTTGGCCGCTTCTCCCGTCGTGCGTTTATGTGGATCAGCGGGGGTCGGACCGCACTGCTTTCCTATGGGGGAACAGCTGGAGGGGGGGTACCTCGCATAATGTGTGTGGTCTGGCAAGTTAGAATCTGGCGTCGGTGTCTGGAGGTTGTTGGGCGTTCCTCTGCAGGGCCTTGTCGCCACAACCGGGCGCAGTTCGAGCACCTGGCCAGGGTGTAAATAGCCCCGTAGAGGGGTCCTGGTATCGGCTTTATGAGCTGATGCTCGTCGGGTGGTGCGGTCTTGCGAGATGGCAGAGCGGAGTCGACATTCTCCTGCTTACGAGGAGCTTCCGTTACAATTTCCAAACCTTTGAAACAAACAATTGATTGCGTGCTTGGACGGTATCTTTTGTGCCCCACGTACATGCGCGCGCCGCCGATCAATGAATGTGGACGCCCGCCTGGGGCCCCCTCTTTCCCCCTCGTTGTTTCGCCCCCCGCCCCCTTCCCGCTTCTCATCTGCTCTTTCCTCCCATCCACACCCTCTCCATATGCCTCCACTTTTGTCCGCCATACTCTCCCCTTCAACCTTCTACACCCAGCCTTCCCTGCCACCCCTCCCTCCCCCATCCGCCTGTGCCTGCGATTCCTCCGCTGCCTGTCTCTGCCTCTTCGCTTCACGGCGGGCAGACTTGGGCGCGCGAGGGGCTGGTCGGAGAGGAGGAGGAGGAGGAGTGCGACGACGACGACGACGACCATGACAACGAGGAAAACGACAAGGAAGAGGGAGACAAAAGGAAGGGGGGGAAGACGACGGACGACGAGCGCGAGAACGAGGAGACGGGAGGACGAGGACAGCGAACGACGCCGACGGAGCCCTTCCAGGACGAGCTTGCGGGGGAGGGCGACCAGGATGAAAAGGAGGCAGCAGGCCAAGGAATCGCAAACATTGATATCACGCGCGCGGAATGAGCGACGGGCCCCGGCACGCTCCGTCGCCAGGTGAGGCGGCAGTGGCTCCATCTTTCGGGGCAGCGCCTTCTCCATCTGTGGCTCTGGCGCCCACGCGCGAGATCCACGGACTTCCAACGCCAGCTGTTTTTTCACAGCGTGGACCTTCAGACCCTTTTCCACGGGACCTGGCTTTTCATCCCGAGCCCTTGTTTGACGCTCTCAAGGCCCCGTCAAGGCCCTTTGGGGCCGAAGGCGACCACAAGCTTCCCGTGGCGGTTCTTTTCGCAGCGCGAGGATGTCAGTATCCCGGGGTCCACTTGGTACAGTATGTTGCCCCGGGTCCGTTTCTCACGGTCCAGGGGCCCGAAAAAGGCTTCCGGAGGCTGAACAAATCAACAAAGTCGCCCCGAACATAGAATTTCGAACTTGCAAGCCCTTCCTGCCACCTCAGACCCCCCCAAAACGGCTCCAAACGACGTCAACGGCGACGATGACGACGGCGACGACGACGACGACGACGTCGACCGACGACGACGACGACGACGACGACGACGACGACGACGACGACGACGACTACGGGGGAACCCCGCTCGCGGGGCAGGCAGCGCCGGCGAAGACCCGCTCACGGGGTGGACGCCCCTGTGCGCGGCCGCCGCGGCCGGCAACGAGGCCTGCGTCAGGCCGGCCGCTGGTCGTGTCGCCGCCGCCGTGGTCTTCGCCGTCGTCACGAGGGGGGGACAGGCTCAGGAGGGGAATTCGAAGAAAGAATAACTACGTAATTGCTACCCTCTGGGCCATGACGCGCGATATGCCCCCTCCCCTCCCCCCCCCACCCCATCCATAACGTAACGCTCCCCACCATCAGTGCGGCCCCAGCACTGCCGCAGTGCGTCCGGCACCACAGTCTGTGGGGGGAGGGGCGCTACGTTATGCCCCCCCCCCCGCGAATATAAAAGAATGCGCTTTAGGCTCAGGAGGGGGACTCGAAGAAGCAAAAACTACATAAGCTGGGTAGTCGAAGGCCAGACCGTCAGATTGGATTGTTCCCCCAGGGCCAATCTGGCCCGGCCAAACTGGATGATTTGGGTTATTCGCCAGACTGGATTCGCGTTGGCTCCCTCGCCAGATTGCCCCCGTTTGCCAGATTGGGCCTGCCAGATTGGCGCCAGATTGGCTTCGACTACCCAGATAAACATAAACTTCCGGAGCTTCACGCGAATCTCTTGGATCTGCGTTGGGGCCCCCTGCCGGCGCCGTCCCTGGCCCGCCCGTCGCGCGCCAGCGAGGGGGGCCAGCGCAGATCCAAGACATCCGCGCGGACCTCACAATGTTTGTGTCCGTGTGTCCGTGTCTGTGTCTGAGTCTGTGTGTGTTTGTGTGTTTGTGCGTCTGTGTGTGATTCTGTGTGTGGGTGTGTGGGTGTGTGGGTGTGTGGGTGTGTGGGTGTGTGGGTGTGTGGGTGCGTGGGTCTGTGGGTCTGTGGGTCTGTGGGTCTGTGGGTCTGTGGGTCTGTGGGTCTGTGGGTGTGTGGGTCTGTGGGTCTGTGGGTCTGTGGGTCTGTGGGTGTGTGGGTGTGTGGGTGTGTGGGTTTGTGGGTGTGTGGGTCTGTGGGTCTGTGGGTGTGTGTGTGTGGATGTGTGTGGGAGTATGGGCGTGTGGGCGTGTGGGCGTGTGGGCGTGTGG